CATGACGCTAGCGCTTCAGGTACGAGCTCCACAGGGCTCAGCACACTAGGTACGAGCGTCTGAGGAGCCAACACCTTAGAAGCCGGCACTCTAAGCGCCAGCGCAGAAAGCGACACTCATTTGCATAAATAGCCCCACGCACTCACTTACTCACTCACCCACTCACTCACTCTCTCACTCACTCAACCACGCACTCACCCACTCATTGACTCTCTCACTCACTCAACCACGCACTCACCCAGTCACTCACTCTCTCACTCACTCACTCAGCCACGCGCTAGCCCACTCAGCCACTCTCGCGCACTCACCCTCGTATTCAACCATGCACTCACTCATGCACCCACGCACTCATGCACCCACGCACTTACTCACGTATCCACCCTCGCACTCAGTCACGCACTCAATCACGCAGTCGGCCAAGCACTTAATCACACACTCACACGCTCAGCCACTCACTCATCATCGCACTCAGACACGCACTCACCCTCGCATTCACCCTCACTCTCAGCCAATCCTCACCTTCACAATCAGTCAATCACTCACATTCACAATCAGCCAATCACTCACATTCACAATCAGCCAATCACTCACCTCACGCTCTCACCTTCGCACTCCCGCACGCACTCACCCTCTCACTCACATTTCCAGTCAGCCACGCACTCACTTACTAACTCAGCCACGCACTCAGCCGAGCACTCACTCTCGCAGTCATTCTCGCACTCAATCACTCACTCACCCTTGCACCCAATCATGCTTTCACACTTGCACTCCGTCACACACTCGTCCTCGCATTCACCCACACATTCAGCCACGCATTCGCACATCGCACTCAGTCACGCACTCACTTCCACGATCGTGCAATCAATCCCGCACTCTCCCTCGCACCCACCCTTGCACTCGTTCACGCACCCACGCACTCACCCTCTCACACACCTTTGCATACTGCCACACACTTCTCTCGGCCAATCTCTCACCTTCATACTAAGCCACACACTCACTCACGCACTCACCCTTGCACTCACCGTTGCACTCACTCTCGCACTCTCTCTCGCCCTCGAGCACACACTCGGCACCCACCCTCACTCTTTGCAGTCCACCACGCACTCGCTCACTCACTCAGCCTAGCAGCCACTCTCGCATTCAGCCACGCACTCAGCCACTCACTCGACCACACACTCAGCCATGCACCATACCACGCACTCACCCACGCACTCAATCACGCAGTCAGCCACGCAACCTATCACGCACTCACTCTCGCAATCAGCAACGCACGCACTCTCGCACTTAATCACTCACTCATCCTTGCAGTCGGCCATGCTCTCTCCTACGCACTCACGCACGCATTCACGCTCGCACTTACCCTCACACTCGCACATGCACTCACCCTTACACTCAGCCGCACACCCACTGAAGCGCTTACCCTCGCACTTACCCTCGCACTCACCGACCGATTCATGCACGCACTCACTCCCTAAGCCACGCACTCAACCACGCATTCACTCTCGCACTCAGCTACTCACGCACTCACCAACTCACTCACCCACTCACTCACTCACTCTCTCACTCTACCACTCTTGCACACAGCCATGCACTCACTCGTGCATCCACGCACTCACTTATGCACTCGCTTTCGCACCCACCCTCGCACTCACCTCGCACTCGCACTCGCACTCACTCGCACACTCACTCACGGTCAACCACACACTTGCTCACCCAGGCAATCAGCCACTTACCCATCGTTGCGCTCAGTCACACACTCACCCTCGGCCACGCACTGACCCTCGCACTCAGCCAATCACTCGCCTTCACACTAAGCCACACACTCGCTCACGCACTTACCCTTGCACTCAACCTCTCCCTCACGCACAAATTCGGCACTCACCCTCTCACTCACCTTTGCAGTCACCCACGCACTCGCTCACTTAATCACTCAGCCTAGCACTCACTCGCGCTTTGTCACGCCATCGCATTCACCGTCGCACTCACTCTCGGACTCACCTACGCACTTACCCACGCACTCACCAAACACTCACCTTTGCATTCAGCCACACACCCACTCATACACTCACAATCGCACTCAGCAAATCACTCACCCACGCACTCACTCTCGCGCTCACCATTGCAATCAGCCACGCACTCCCTCACTCACTCAGCCACCACTCAGCCATGCACTCAGTCTCTAACTCACTCACGCTCTCAACCACACACTCATCCATGCGCTCACACAAGCATTCACGCTTGAACCCAGCCACACATTCACCTTCGCACTCACTCTCAAACACTTATCTTCTTACTCTCCTATGCGCGCACTCACGCACGCAGCTAAGTCTACTAGCTCACGCGAAAGTGGCCTAAAAAGGCGCATATGAAACTCACATGGGAACAGGTTGGCGGAGGGCGGACAGGGGCGGAAGGTGGCCCTGTTAGCCACTTGTTGGGGACAAAGCTGAGTGGGGAGAAGGAATGGCATATCGGAAAGGGGAGGTTAGAGAGAATAAATGATGTGAAATTCTGATAAACTTAAAATTGACCTTGCAACGAAGCTTAAATAAGAAGCTTAGAGGAGGGGATGGATCATGGAAGTGATTGGTGGGGGGAAGAAAGAGGCATGAAATCAGCAATTGGTGTGCAACAATACAGAAAGGTGTATGTGGTAGAGGACTGGATGGGGCATGAGAAGGGACGGAAACAGCGAGAGTGACAAACGTGAGCAAAAACGAAGCAAGGACGATGCAGCCTTCGCGCTTTGGCGCCAGCGCCTACAGCGATCAAGGCGCCAGTGCGCAAGGCGCCAGCAAAACATGCGCCAAGGCGCCAGCGAAAAAGGCGCCAAGGCGCCAGCGAAAAATGCGCAAAGGCGCCAGCTAAAAAGGGCGCCAAGGCGCCAGCGAAAAGGGCGCCAAGGCGCCAGCGAAAAGGGCGCCAAGGCGCCAGCGAAAAAAGGCGCCAAGGCGCCAGCGAAAATGGCGCCAAGGCGCCAACGAAAATGGCGCCAAGGCGCCAGCGAAAATGGCGCCAAGGCGCCTGCCTCAAGGCGCCAGCCTTGATGGCGCCAAACGCCCCGCCGACGCTAGTAGCACCTACCGGAGCAATTGATGAGGCACGGGAGAGGAGACTATTGTTGAAGGTCTTTACCAAAGAACGAAACTGAACCTAGTACTGCTGTGCCAAAGTTTGAACAATCTTGGTAGAAACGAGAAGCTTTGATAAGATTCAAGAATAGAGAAGCAAGAACGAGATGACTGAAACAAGAAACGGAATCTGTTGCTTGAATGGTGTTCGACCTCCTCGCGGTAGTGGGCATCGAGGGAGCAACGTTGAGCAAGAAACATGCGCTTTGGAGCAACAATACCTAGAACCAACGCCAGCTTCAGCGCGTTACGTTCCAGCATGTACGAGCACGTGAAATTCAGCTGACTCAGCTGATACACTAACATTTCATGTGCATTTTGCGTCAGCTCAACAAAACGCGGCGAAAGTGAAAAACGAAACCCACATACCCCATATTAGTCCTAAATCATTTATCTACACCATAAGTAACCATGTAGTACATGCTTATATTCTTCAGTCAAAATTCCTCATGATTGGGCATTAGGTGTGAGATAGAGACGAAAATGCAATACGTATAATACAAAACGACTGTAGAGGGTGGGAGAAAGGTGCAGATAAACCTAAGTGGATTGAAAAAAAAAATTGTTGCGTTTATATTGAGTACGGTATTAATATTCTACGCAACCCTTACGACGTTCATCGTCGAGCCTTGTTGTGTTATCTAAGAGTGTTGAAATTGTAGCGTGTAGCTGTAACACCGCAAAGATTTAGCACACCCATCGCGAGTTCGCGAAGAGTCCAACCGATCTTTAGCTTGTGTACGAATGTGTGTCAGGGTTTTCAGAAACCCAGATTCCTCCACCGAATTCCACTGGTTTGCGCGTCCTCGGTGTCTCCGCCCCGCGCCTGCTTCTTCCTCACGCAACACTTCACCGCTGCAGAGCAGAACCGCCCGCCCCGCCACCACCCCTTGAGCCTGGCACGCTCGGCTCCCCTTCCCCAGTTGAGTGTGTGTCAGCGCAACGAGTTTGCGTGGTGCTGCTTGTTTCTGCTCGGTTCGCCTCGGTTCTGCTCGGCTCTGCTTCGGTCGACTCTCCTGTCAGCAGATTCACGGCAAGGATTCACAGCATACATAATCACAGCCTTCCCAACAGAAGGCTTGCGTAGTACTGAAGTATCTAGCAGGTTGACATTGCTTGAAGGACATTGTAGGCAATAGGTATTTTTCAGCAGGGATCCGAGTCGGGTTCTGCGAGAGAAGCAGACAGCGAGAAAGGTAAACAGTATTCCCGCATTTTATTCATTCCTTCGCCTTTCTTTCCGTCTCACTTTTTATCCTACTGCGAGCTCACGCATCAACGAATCCTCAGAGGGCGATCGTCCATCGTCTTCCCGACGTAAGCATGTCGGATAATAACGTTGACGCAGCTTTTCCCAGTAATCGCAATCCTCAGTCTTCAGAATCCCCGTCCGCGAACTCCGATCAGCAAAGCGGGAGAGGCGGCCGCCGCAGGGGTGGAGGTGGAGGGCGAGGTCGAGAGCGAAGTTCCCAAGACCGAAATTCTCAAGACATTAATGCACAAGCTAATGGCTGGAACCCGGAGGAGAATAGCCACCGAGGAGGGTATGGTGGCAGGGGCAGAGGGAGGGGTCGCGGCCGAGGTTCAGACGATTATCTTTCCCGTGGAGGATCTGACGGCTTCGCAAGCGGCGGGAATCGCGGCGGCGGACGCGGCGGTGGTCGCGGCGGATCTTCCGGTCCAGTCCAAGAGTTTTATGGCGGGTCTGGAGCCCGTCAGACGCAAGACTTCGCCCAGCCTCGTCGCGGTTACTCTCAGCCCTACCGGCCGTTTCTGGTACCTGCCGGCCAGTCAAATCAGCCGGCAGGTCTGACCGGCCAGTCGCCTCAGCCGGCAAGTCAGCCGGTCTTTGTTAATGCTGACGGAAGCATGCGTGGGAGCGGGACTAGCGCGGGGAATATGCCGTTGGAGATGCAGCCGACGGGGTTAGCTTCGTATTCTTTAAACAGTGGTAATTTCCAGCAGCCAGGATTGCATTCGGGCAGCAGCCAACCTCAACCACGGGCAGGTCCTGGAATTTTGGACCTGCCCGCGCTTCTTGCCCCCCCAGGTGCTCGAGCACAGCAGGGAGACTCGCGGGGAAGGGGAAGAGGGGGGAGGGGCGGGGGGAGAGGAGGCAGGGATGGGGGAAGGGGGAGAGGAGGGCGTGGAGACAGAGGCGAGGTAGAGCTGCCACAGCATCAGGTAACCGGGTTACCAGCATCAGTCTCGTCCGCTCCTCCGTTTCCTGTGCGACATGGTTATCAGCATTCGCAGCAGCAGCCGTTTCGCCGCCACCAGCACCAGCAGCAGCAGCAGCAGCAGCAGCAGCAGCAGCAGCAGCAGCAGCAGCAGCAGCAGCAGCAGCAGCAGCGGCAGCAGCAGCAGTTCAACCAACCGAAGCTATCCCAGCAGCAACCGTACCAGCACCAGCCACGTCAGCAGCAGGGAAGGCCGGCCTCGGATTTGAGCGGCGCCAATACCGACCAACGAAGCGCAACGAGCGCAAGAGACGGAGTGGAAGTTCCGCAGCTGCTACAGGAGATAGAAAACCGGTTACGAAGCGGGCAGGTGGAGTGTATGATCTGCTACGACCCCGTGGGGCGGTCGGCTGCCGTCTGGACGTGCCACAGCTGCTACAGCCTGTTCCACCTCCACTGCACGCGCAAGTGGGCCAAAGCGCCCTCGTCCGGCGCCGCGCCAGACCTCGCCGCGGCGAATGCGGGGGGGAGTGCTGGCGGGAACGCGAGTGCGAGTCAAAATACAGCAGGAGCAGCAGGAGCGGGAGGAGCAGGAGTGGCAGCAGGATCGGGGGGGCCAGGAGGGTCAGGAGGCGAAGGGTGGAGGTGTCCCGGTTGCCAGGCTGTTCAGCTAACCCCTCCCTCTCACCTTCGCTATTTCTGCTTCTGTGGGCAACGGGAAGATCCCCAGTTCGATCCCTACCTGGTCCCCCATTCCTGTGGCGAAACCTGCCACAGGCCGCTAGGGTTACCCGGTTCGTCCTGCCCCCATTCTTGCACGCTGATCTGTCACCCGGGGCCCTGTCCGCCGTGCAGCGCTATGGCTAATACCGAGTCGTGCTTTTGTGGGGGACGGCGGTTCCAGAGGAGATGCAGCGAGGCTGCTGCAAAGCCCGGGGGCGTGTCGTGTGGAGAGCGGTGTAATGCGGTGCTGAGGTGTGGCAGGCATGTGTGTGGGAGGGTGTGTCATGAGGGGGAGTGTGGGGAGTGTGAAGAGGTGGTTGTAGCGCAGTGTGTGTGTGGGAAGGAGGAGCAGCAGAGGCGATGTTCTAGCCTGTTACCAAGTAGCCCTCCTCTTGTTTCCCCTCCTACTTCTCCTAACACTCCTCCTCTCTCCTCTCCTCTTGTCTCTTCCTCTGAAGAGAGCAACACTGCCACCAACAGCGGCAGCACAACCAGCAGCAGCAGCAGCAGTGGGGTATACCTGGTCAAAGGTGCATTTTCCTGTGAAACTGTTTGTAACAAGCTGCTTCCGTGCGGTAACCACCGTTGCCAGAAGCGCTGCCATAGCAGCAGCAGCAACACCACCAGCAGCAGCAGCGCCAGCAGCACCACCACTAGCGGCACCACCATCAGCAGCAGCACCACCACCACTAGCGGCACCACCACCACCGATTCCTCATGTGGCAACTGCCAGTTCTCGCCCTCCGTTGTTCACACCTGCCCGTGTGGCAAGCAGCCAATCACAGCCCTTCTCCAGAAACCCGGACAGGCTAGAAAGCAGCGCACCTCGTGCCTAGACTCCATACCCACATGTGGTGGCGGGTGTGGCAAGCTACTGGCGTGTGGCCAGCACGTGTGTGGCAGCCTGTGTCACGTGGGCGAGTGCCCGCCCTGTGAAAAGCCTGTGGAGCAGCGGTGTGCGTGTGGGGAGTCGGTTCGGACAGTGCCTTGTTATAAAACACTGGTATCTTTTGGGAAGGGTTCAGGGGATGGGGTTTATGCTAGCGGCAGTGCTGCTGATGGTGCTGATGGTGGCGGTAGTAAGGGTGTTACAGGTGGGGAATTCGCTGCAGCAGCAATGGGAGCAGCAGGAGAAGGAGCAGCAGGAGGAGGAGGAGTTGACACAGAGCCTTTTCGCTGTAACCGCAAGTGTAACGCCAAGAAGAACTGTGGGCGGCACCGCTGCAACACCAGCTGCTGCCCGAAAAACCCTAAGAACAAAGCACCAGCTGCTGCATCTGACGCAGACCCTCATTTCTGCATGCTAGTCTGCGGGAAGAAGCTTCGTTGCAGCAAGCACTCATGCATGGAGCTTTGCCATTCCGGCCACTGCCCCCCTTGCCTGGAAGCTTCCTTTACAGAAGTTTCCTGCTCCTGCGGGTCTTCCTTTATCCCCCCCCCAGTTCCCTGTGGCACCTCCCCTCCTTCCTGCTCCCAGCCTTGCTCTAAACCGAGAGATTGCGGGCACGATCCGGATCACCCCTGCCATTTCGGGGATTGTCCGCCGTGTTCCTCTGCGGTTGCAAAGGAGTGCGTGGGCGGTCACGTGGTGTTGAGAGGGGTGCCGTGCGGTAGTAAGGATATCCGGTGCAGTAATGTGTGTGGGAAGAGGCGGCAGTGTGGGGTGCATGCTTGCTTGAAACTATGCCATGTGGGGCCGTGTGATGAGCCAGGACCTGCCCTTGCCACTGCTGCTGCTGCTGCTGCTGCTACTGCTCCACCTCCTGCTGCTACTGCTGCTGATGATGATCATGGGAAACAGGAGGACGGCGGGTCAGGGAAACAGCAGCCGGAACAGCAGCAGCAGCAGCAGCAGCAGCAGCGTCTCGCCTGCCCACTCTCCTGTGGCCAGCCTTGTGGCGCTCCCAGGAGGGAATGCCAGCACACATGCACATCCACCTGTCACATCGGCTCTCCCTGTCCCGAAACCCGCTGCACCACCCCTGCCACCATCACTTGCGCCTGCGGTCGTCTCTCTGCTCGAGTCCCCTGCGGGGCAGGCGGGAAAGACTCCGATTGGCTGACCGGGAATCTCATTCTGCCCGGGCTGCCAACTGCTCTGGTTCAGCCTGTGGAGGCCGCGGGCGGCGGCAGCCGGGCAGCGAGAAAGTTTCCGCCCGGGCAGTGCAAGCTCGCGTGCAATGAGGAGTGTGAGAAGGTGCAGAGGAGGAAAGTTTTGGCGGAGGCGTTTCATCCCTTGGCCGGTGCAGCAGAGGCTGGTATTACCAGCAGCACTGTCACCAGTAGCAGTCTGTGGGACGGCCGTGACAGCAGCAGCAGCAGCAACACCAGGAGCGGCATCAGTAGCGGTATCAGCAGCAGCAGCAATACCGGTGGTACTGGTACTGGTACCAGTGGGGAGCTTTCTCAATCGGTAATGGAGATTATTCGAGCTGACCCGCGTTGGGCAGCGGACATAGAATCCCGCCTGCAGTATTTAGTCCTTGGACCCACCTCCAAATCCCCTCCAGCAGCAGCAGCAACAGCAGCAGCAGCAGCCGCAGGAGGAGGGGGAGGAGCAGCGAGTGCAGCGGCGACAGCCGCTACTGGGTGGCCAAGAGACGGTGTTCGTCTGCATATTTTCAGGCCGATGGGGAGAGAGAGGCGGGAGGCGGTGCATCAGATGGCGGGTCGGTGGCGACTGGAGACGGTGTCTAAAGGAGCCGAACCGCACCGGTTCACGCTCGTGTATACCACGTCCAAGTCCCGCGCTCCTACCAGGAAGCTTCCGCTTCCTTCCGGCAGCAACATCAGCAGCAGCAGCAGCATTGGAAGCAACCTAGTGCCGCTGGGTCCCGGGTATTCGCCCTCTCTCACTGCTCCTGCCCCACCCTTCGACCCGGAAATAGACCTCAACCCGGCGCGTGTGGTGGCGCTGCCTTCCCTTCCCAGAGAATCCAACGTGGCGACCCAACTAGTGAGGTTCGGAGGGGAGTGTGAGCTCGTGTGGATCGACGATCGCAACGCCGTTGCTGTGTTTGAGGACCCGGGGCGAGCAGCAACGGCCATGCGGTTTCTGGATCATGCGAAGCCGTTCTGGGGTGCTGTTGCTCGGGGGAGTGTGTATCATTTGCAGCAGCCGCAGCAGCAGGGGCAGCAGGGGCAGGAGAAGCAATGGCGGCAGCAACAGGGGTCATGGGGTTTACCTGGGGTAGGTGGATCTGGAGGTATGGGTGCTGGTGGAGGTGGTTCGGCGGTTTGGGGCGGGAGAGGTTCGGCCGGGCCTGCTGGTGCAGGTTCGGGCAGAGGTTGGGGAGCAGGAGGGGTGGGAATAGGGGGAGGTGGGCCTGGGGCGGGTGGGACTGCGGGAGGGGCGTGGGGGAGAGGAGGGGGGGGTGCAGCTGTGATAAAAACGGGGGTTGGCCATGCATTGTTGGATGAAGCATGGGGGGGTGATGATGGTGCTGCTGGTGCAGCAGCTGCTACGACTGTCACAACTGCTACAGTATCAGCTGCTACTGCGGCATCCTCCCCCCCTGCAGCTGCTCCTGCTCCTGTTTTCGCTCCTGCGGCCACTGCTGCTGCAGCAGCTGCCTCGGCTGCACCTGCTGCAGTTGCTGTTGCTGCTGGGGAAGTGGCAGAGGAAGGAGATGGGGCAGATGGTGATGTAGATGACTGGGAGAAGATGATTGATTAGCACCAGTCGGTAGCTTGTCAGGCTACCAGGTTGACTGCTCCTGCTAGTGCTGCTGCCGCGGCTGCACCTGCTGCAGTTGCTGCCGCTACTGGGGATGGCAGGGGAAGGACATGGAGAAGATGATGATGTAGATGACTGGGAGAAGATGATTGATTAGCACCAGTCGGTAGCTTGTCAGGCAGGCAACCAGGTTGACTGCTCCTGCTAGTGCTGCTGCCTCGGCTGCACCTGCTGCTGCTGCCGCTACTGGGAAAGTTGCAGAGGAAGGAGATTGAGAAGATGATGATGTAGATGACTGGGAGAAGATGATTGATTAGCACAAGTCCGTTGGTTTCTGTGTTAGATTGTCATGCTACACTCTGTTATGGTTCGCTCGAGACAATGCATTATGCGACATGGTACCGTATCTGTTTCACCAGTAACTTCTTGGTGAGCTGAGCATACTGGTAGTGTCCCCTGAGTATCGTTTGTGGAGGGCCCCATATGCATGTCACTGTACATTATTACCGAAATTCACCATGTCATATAACCGTCAACCTACCGCCCTCCTTGTCATCTCGCTATTACCCCTTCACCTCACTGACTCCGTCGTCACCCTAAGATCCCAACCTCACTCAATTGCCACCCCCGACATTTGTCCACCTATGTATTTAGACATGTGTTAGAGACTCGCGGGGAAAAGAAAGACAAATGGAGCTCGAAAAACCCTGAGCCCAGCTCAGAAGACTCATGAAAGTGGAGGCTGGGAAGCTATGGCCCGAGTATAAAGCAAGCACACAATTTACCTTTAGAGATGCACCATGTATTTTATGCTAAGGGACTTTGCCTCACAAATCCTGTTACAGATAACTTTTCGCACTGCACGAAAATAGTCACACCAGAAATTTCGCAGCTGCGGAGCATGGGCGTCCCGATTCGATGTGAGAATTCATTTTCGGATTGTGAGCTGCCCTGCCCGTCGCGGATGTTTAGGGATTGAGATTTTGTCGTGGTGCTTGGCATTGTGTGAGGGACAATTCGTTTTTTCGCGCATAAACTTGAATGGGAAACTCCTGCGTTTGGTCAGGGACCATTATCAAAGTACACGTCTGCCGTCACGTCCTCGTGCCTGACGGCTGCCGACCCGAACCGAATCGGTTTGTTCACTCTTGCGCGGCTCCGTGATGTGATGTCATGTCCCCCCAACATTTCTCGAGGCAGAGCAATCTCGCCGCCATACACGGCCAGGCAACCCCCATCCAAATCCAACGGTGGGCGCCGTACCTGCCTCCCCCTGTCATCAAGGTGAAACCAATCTCGAAGAAATGCTTCTCAGGGTGACACAATTGATACTTTACAAGGGACCTGGGGAGGTTCAATCTGGTGCGCAATGGTAAAGCGGTGATAGACGAAAATGAAAGCTAATCGTACAGGAGTTGCTAGCTTCGCAATCCATATAGCTGCCAGCAATTATTGTCCTCTGGAATGGAACCGCAGCGGTATAGTACCCGGCTGATCGACCAATAATGGCGTGTGTCACAGCGCACCAATTAATCCGTTCCGAGCACAGGGAGAAGAAGGGTGCCATAGGAAAAAAGCTTTGAACTGAGAGTTGACGAATCTCGTTTCCAGCACTTAGAACTACTACTAGGCCTCTTATTGTGCTTACCCAATCTGACCAACTCAGTTCCAAGTCCCAGTTACATGCTCATTACTGCCTAGCGGGAGCAGTCGTTCTTATCAGTTGCCTCTTCCCCTCATTCTCAGCAGGCGTATCTCATTTCTTCAGCATCTTCCTGCACCTCGCTGCATTTCACCGTAGCCTGACGCTCTGCGATCTGTTGCGCATTTCGCTTGCCTGAAGCTCTTTATGCTGCGGGACGCTGCGTCAAACTAGCACTCGACGAGGAAGTACTAGCACTAGCACTTACGGCTGAAGCTCTGCTTCAACACTAACAAGGCTAACATCAATAAGATGCGGGGAGTTGCGTCGTTTGTGTTCGTAGCAGTTCTTCTGGTTGTCGGCTCACGCGAAGCTGAAGCACTCCAATCTCTAGGTGAGATCCAACGGCAATGGATCATTCGAAATGTTGCAGTTCTGGTACAATGTTGCGTCATTCTTTCAGGTGCTTCTCAGATGGTTCCTGCAGCTAAGATCCTTGAGTATTCATCGGAACAATCTGATTCTCGTGCGAACATGTGCAGGAAATGAGCGACTGGGTCAGCGACGGATTCTGTCGGAGGGCTCGACAAATGACATCAAGAAGCCGACTATCTTCGTCACCGCGAGCGGCAGCAACGCGGAGTCGACCATTCGGAGCGTGATAGCTCAAGCAAGCTCCAAGGTAAAACACGAATAATAATGACATTCAGCATTCAATGCTGGCTTTTCATGTCTGACATTTCAGCACTTCAGTGCCAGTCTGTTAATCCCGCCATTCTTTTCATGGCAACGACCCCGATGGGCATTCCTTTCGCCGCTGGTTTCGACAACGTTCTGACTGGCATTCCACCATCTTACACCCAAAATTAACTGAGTCATCCCAAAATTAACTGCGTTCCATCTTACGCCCATACCCTCATTCTCCGCTATTGACAGTCAGCCATGGTGGAGGTGACGCTCAAGAGTGACATCACGCTTACCAGGCAAGCATACATTTCAATGCTACAGTCCCTCCTACAATGCAATATCTACCATGCCAGTGCGCCATTGTACCATAGAATATCTCGGCACCACCTCAATAGTCAATAGTACAACAGTCAGACTATCAGAAGCCGGTTTTCGCCCAAGCTCTTTTACGTGGTAACCTCACCTCGTTCTTCGCGTTCGTGTCCCCTCCCCTCCTTTCGCCACACTTCCTCCGCGCAGTGGGTTCCCTGCCATCGGGTTCTCTTCCGGAATCATTCTGAAAGGCGACTGCGAGAACAGGAAAAATAAAGTGTGAGTAGTGACCTATACACCTTCAAGGATATACACCATCCAAGTTGGATGTTTCTTACTGCTACGCCAAGGTGATTTTTGAGCGAACTCACGAATCAGCGTGCGTGGTCTACTCTCCTCTGATGGTTCCTACATCTCCAAAATGTTCTGACCCAAAAGGGGCCCCCAGGTGACTTCCGGGCAAGATTGGGGACATCTGGAAATCTGACCCATAAGTTACTTTTGGAACTGACACTTTAGGCAAGTCTCAGGCCAGAATGGCTCACCCAAAAGTGACTTTTGGGTCAGGTACGGGTCAGGTAAGGGTCAGGTACGGGTTAAGATTTTGGCGGGAAAAGTCAGGTACGGGTCAGGTACGGGTTAAGATTTGGCGGGAAAGTCAGATTTGGGGCAATTTCGGGTCACACGTGGCCCGCGCATGGCCTGATTATATTTCCGTTACAGTGTGCTCTTTTTTAGTAATAAGCATTTTTTGGTTGAAATTGTATAATATATATTTCACTATATAACAAAACGTCAAATAACAACATCACCATGACTACATAATGAATAGGGCCTTGTAAAGTTGTCCCAGAATATATAAATCACTGCACAGCTAAAATATCCAAACACAAAGCCAACACACATTAAAGGGTCAAAGGCGTTACACATGCGACAACGCCAGCTAAAGAATATAAAAACCAGAACAATCATTTAGCAATTATCACCTTGTAATTTGGGAAAATCACCTTCACTACTCTGTGCCCCAAAATAACAGCAGGCATGGCATAATAAAAATAATCTTCACGTGCTTGTTTCCATGTCAGGCTGTTATAAGGGGCGAAAAATGAAGGCGACGCGGAAGTGGTGGCGGCGCGGCATAGTTTTTCCAAATTAATCTTCACAACATATATGCACCTGCATGTAGAGACTAAAAAAAAACTGACATGAGACAAGCTGACAGTAATAAAAACGGCGGAAATAACCAACACTTGAATCTATCGACGTTGACACAAACAACCTCCAATACCTTCACTCTCTGTCCTGCGAGTAAGCAAAGAAACGTGATGCAAGAAATGTAGATTGCAAAGTTAAGAAAAAAAAGACAACAATCTGCAAGGGAAGGTGACTTCATAGATCGCAACGGGGGAAAGATAGGAGATACGGTATTGCAAAGTAAAGAAAACGAACAACAATCTGCAAGGATAGGTGAATTTATAGATCGCAATGGCGGAAAGATAGAATATATTGCACAATCAGGAAAATGAAACAACAATCTGCAAGACAAGACGGCTTTAAGGGATCGCAGTGGCGGAAAGACAGATTGATATGTTTACATGAAATAACATAAGCGCAAAAAAAACAAATGAATCACCATAGTTGACTAGCGTCTTGTCGCTGAAGAATCGCCCCCTGCGATGATACTCGCTTTCTGCCACAGAAAGGTTCATAACGGGTATTTATATTTTAAAAAAAGAAATAGAATCGTAAAGACTTCGCTACCTACAGCTGGCGCGAAAACTAATATGCAATTAGGAACAGATACATTGTTGGATGAGTATTAGAGCTAGGGACGACAAGATAACGAGTTGGGGACGACGGGATAGGAGCATGAGACATGGCTTAGCTAGGAGTGGAAAGGTAACAGCAAGAATAGAGCATGGAACAACTACGGTACGTGAGAAACAGGAATGCTGAAGTGGGTGGACAATCGAAACCCTCAATTTTCGCGTCGAAAGCCTTAAAAAAGTTTACACCGGTATGACGAGAACGTGTAGATAGCGTAGCGGTTAGTTATTGAGGGGTAATCGGGAGGTAGCGGGTTCGATTCACGCGCGAACGATTTTGTTCGCGTGTTTTGTTGCAACAGAAATTGATAATTAAAATCAGTTTCCCAAATTTGTGCAGTCTCCTTAGCTCAGTGGTTCCTATTCATCAGTTGAACTGAAGGTAAGGGGATCGATTCTAGACATAGTGTTTGTTACATCAAAGTACATGTTGCTTGTAGTTTTACACGCTGGTCGGAAAATTTTCTGAGTCGAGAACTGCCAGCGACAGGTATCGAACCCGCATTCCCAGAACCCCATGGTCCTTTCGGCTTTTGGGACACGTTCGGGTCAGGTACGGGTCAGTACTACGTTTGGGCCAGAAAACTCACTGACCCCAAACTATCTCCCAACTGACCACTAACCCTAAAGTGTCCCAAAAGTCACTTTCGGGGCAATTTTGGGCCAGGCTGGGGTCAATCCGGTTTCCGGGTCAGGTTTGGGTCAGAAACATTTTGGTGATGTACTACGTCAATTGCGAGCAAGCTTCAACATCGGAATAGTTTACCTCCCTTGTCAGCTCTCCTACCTCCAACTTTCTCGTTGCCTCACGCCGTTTCTCCTCAAGTGATCCGTTTTCCCGATGCCGTTTCCCTCAAACGACCCGTTTTCTCCTCAAGCAATTTGCCCCTGGCTGTCCTTCTCCCCGTTCCCTCTCCCCTCAGTTGCGTCGTGGACGGCAGCAGAAAGTTTCGCATATTCTCGGGTATCTTCGCATGTGGCATCGTGCTGGAGAACCTGGTGGTGCAGCACGCGCTCAACGGCGTGCACGTGGTCCCCCAAGTGATCCGTTTCCCTCACACCCTTCCCGTCAAGTGATCCGTTCCCTCATGCCTCATTCCTCATGCGATCCGTTTCCCCTCCCGTCACGCCCCTCGCTCTCCTTCTTTCCCCCGTTCGTTCCCTCCTCACAGTTGCGTCGTCGACGGCAACAAGAAGTTTCGCATATTCTCGGGTATCTTCGCATGTGGCATCGCGCTGGAGAACCTGGTGGTGCAGCACTCGCTCAACGGCGTGCACGTGGGCGGGTGCCAGTTCGCTGCGCGCCGAGTCACCTTCCAGCACAACGTCGCGGATAAGAGCTCCACTGGCGGGGCGGTTTTCAAGTAAGTTCGCCACTTAGGAAGTGCCTCAACATCTCTTTTCATGCGCCTCGCAAGCAACGCGCAAACGATTGTGTCGCCACACTTGCCTCGCCCTTGCGCGCCGAGTCACCTTCCACCATATCGTGGCGGAGAGGCGGTGAAGCGGAGAACCTGGTGGTGCAGCACGCGCTCAACGGCGTGCACTGGGGCGCGTGCCAGTTCGCTGCGCGCCGAGTCACCTTCATGAGTATTTGAAATGAATCGTATTAGTTAGCCAAGTCGTCAGATCAACGGTTCAGGTAGCAGCTGGTAGCTGTGCGCCGAGTCACCTTCCAGCAAAACGTGGCGGATAAGCGCTCCACTGGAGGGGCCGTTTTCAAGAGAGTGTCTGATCCGAATCAGGTCGTTTGTCAGCTAGTGAGTGTCTGAACGCTTCAGCTAGTAGCTGCGCGCCGAGTCACCTTCCAGCACAACGTCGCGGATAAGCGCTCCAGCGGCGGGGCCGTTTTCAGTGGGTCCCCCCTGCAGTTCGCCCCCTGCTTCTTTCTCAGCAACACCGCCCTCACACGTCTCTCTACCCTACTGTCCTTGTCCCCCATGCCCCATTGTCCCATCTTCCCATCCAGCTCTAGAGACAGCTCACCCACTGCTGGCTCGCCCCTGCAGTTCACCACCGGCTTCTTTCTCAACAACACCGCGGCTGGCATTGGCGGCGTTATCAACGTGGGAAGAGACCCTACGGGAGGGCCGGTATCTCACCACCTGCTTCTTCCCCCCATGTCCCATTTTTACTCCCCATCCAGCTCTAGGGCCAGCTCACCCACTGCTGGCTCCCCTCTGCAGTTCACCACCTGCTTCTTTCTCAACAACACTGCGGCTGGGAATGGCGGCGTTATCAACGTCGGGAGGGACCCTACGGGAGGGCCGGATGTGAAGATTGCTAAGTGCGCTTTTAGTAAAAACTCGGCGGGAGGCAGTGGAGGCGCGATTTATTCCGAAGGGAGTGAGCTTTACCTGCGCCAGTCGACGTTTTCGCAGAACACTGCTGGTAACTACACTTGCTCATATCTTTGTACCACTCGCACACACGGCCACGTGCTCGTTTGTAGGTAACACACATAACACATATGCTCATCTTTTGACCAGCTTTGAGGCGTTCCAAACCTTAGTCGATCTGTTTGCAAAACACTGTTGAAAGCCACACACACACGCTCGTCTCCGTCCCCTCCGTCTCTCCTCTCCTTGCTTCCTCTCCCTCCCTTTCCCCTCGGCTCGTGGCGGTGGTGCCATCTTCAGGACAAGCCCAAACCTCACCTCCATTGGCATTACGGTTCGCCCTCGGTTCACTCCCTCCTTGCTTCTCCACCCCCCTCCGTTCTTCTACTTTCCCTTCAGCTCGTGGCGGCGGTGCCATCCTCACCACAAGCCCAATCCTCACATCCATCGGCAATCGATTCTCCGCCAACTCAGTGGTCAACGGGCGAGGCGGTGCCATCTCCATGCAGGCAGAGGAGGTGAAAGTCCAGTTCTGCAGGAGCAACTTCCGCCGTAACAGGGCTCTGCTGTACCCTGTGTCGAATGACATGAACGCCGGGACGAGTGACGGCACCGTGACCGTGTGTGGGAGCACGGGGCCGAGACGCATCCGGAAAACTCCCGCTTTGAAGGGAGTCCAGAGCTGCAGGTGAGCCTTCTGCCGTGCCCTTGTGTGTGAGAGCACTTAGAGCCCTGGGAGGGGGGGGACGAGCGACGGCACGGTGACCGCGTGTGGGAGCACGGGGCCCAGACGCATCCGGAAAACACCCGCTTTGAAGGGAGTCCAGAGCTGCAGGTGAGGCTTCTGCCGTGCCCTTGTGTGTGAGAGCACTTAGAGCCCTGGGAGCAGGGGAACGAGCGACGGCACGGTGACCGCGTGTGGGAGCACGGGGCCCAGACGGATCCGGAAAACACCTGCTTTGAAGGGAATCCAGAGCTGCAGGTGAGGCCTCTGCGCGAGCATGTGAGAGTTCTTTGAGCCGTGGAAGCAGGAGAATTTGGAAAGCAGTAGCCGTGCCTTTGTGTGGAGCTCTTTGAAGGGAATCCACAGCTGCAGGTGAGGCTTCTGCCCTTGCATGAACGCCGGGACGAGTGACGGCACTGTGACCGTGTGTGGGAGCAGCTGTGCTCCGAACCTGGATCTAAACCCCTACTGCAAGTACGCCCCTGCTAAAGTCAGCACTGCTCCTCATGCCCGCTGTTTATCTTTCGCCCCCTCTCATTTCTACCCCCCTTCCCCTTACCCCCCTCGCAGTGGCTGCACTGGCTGTTCTAACGACTGTAACGGTCACGGCACCTGCGCTCTAGACGCCGATCTCAACCCCTACTGCAAGTGCCAGAACCAGTTCGACCCTGCCAAAGCCTTCCTCCACCCCTTCCCAACCCCTCCCCTCGCAGTGGCTGCACTGGCTGCTCTAACGACTGCAACGGTCACGGCGCCTGCGCTCTAGACGGCGATCTCAACCCCTACTGCAAGTGCCAGAACCAGTTCGACCCTGATGAAGCCTGCACTCATGCCCTGTGTTAACCTCCTCCCCTTTCCTCCTCTCTTCTTCCGCCAACCCCACTCCCTCCCTCCCTCTCCCTTCCAGTGGCTGCACTGGCTGCTCTAACGACTGCAACGGTCACGGCACCTGTGCTCTCGACTCAGATCTCAACCCCTCCTGCAAGTGCCAGAACCAGTTCGACCCTGCCAAAGCCTGCACTGTGTGCAAGATGGGATACACTATCGACTCCAAGTGCTCTGCCTGCACTCATGCCCTGTGTTAACCTCCTCCCGTTTCCTCCTCCAACCCCAACCCCCCCCCTCCCCCCCCTTTGCAGTGGCTGCACTGGCTGCTCTAACGACTGCAACGGCCACGGCACCTGTGCTCTCGACTCGGATCTCAACCCCTACTGCAAGTGCCAGAACCAATTCGACCCTGCTGAAGCCTGCACTGTGTGCAAGATGGGATACACAATGGGGTCCAAGTGCTCTGCCTGCTCCCATGCCCTGTGTTGACCTCCTCCCGTTTCCTCCTCTCTTCTTCCGCCAACCCCACTCCCTCCCTCCCTCTCCCTTCCAGTGGCTGCACTGGCTGCTCTAACGACTGCAACGGTCATGGCACGTGTGCGTTAGACGCCGATCTCAACCCCTCCTGCAAGTGCCAGAGCCAGTTCGACCCTGCTGAAGCCTGCGCTGTGTGCAAGATGGGATACACAATGGGGTCCAAGTGCTCTGCCTGCGCCCAGGGGTTCTTCTCAGGCCAGAAGGGGCGCTGCAGCGCGTGTGGCAGCGTGGATAAGGTGGGTGGCAGGGGGGATTAAGGTGGCAGTGACATATAGGTGTGTGAGAGTGAGGGACACTGAGCCTGCCGGCACTGTGTGTAAGATGGGATACACAATAGGGTCCAAGTGCTCTGCCTGCGCCCAGGGGTTCTTCTCAGGCCAGAAGGGGCGCTGCAGCGCGTGTGGCAGCATGGACAAGGTGCGTGGCAGGGGGATTTAGGTGGCTGGGGGATTTAGGAGGCGGGGACGTGCAAGGAGGAGGTGAGAGTGAGATTGAGGTGCAAGGAGCACTGTGTGTAAGATGGGATACACGATGGAGTCCAAGTGTGTGGCCTGTGCCCAGGGGTTCTTTTCGGGCCAGAAGGGGCGCTGCAGCGTGTGTGGCAGCATGGACAAGGTACGTGGCAGGGGGACTAGGACGGGTGGCCGTGACTATAAGGTGGGTGAGTGTGATAGTAGGGCGTGTTGCTGTGAGGGTAGGGCGTGTGCTTGTGGGAATGGAGCGTGTTGCTGTGAAAATCGGACATGTTTTGTTGTGAAATTAAGGCATGTGAAGGTAAAGCATGTGAGAGTGAGCGACAAGGAGCTCTGCTTGCACGGCAGGGTACATTCTCCAGTCTAAGTGCTTGACTCACATGCTCCAGTCCAAGGGCCCTGCCTGTGCCTCAAGTTGACTTTTGAGTCGACTCAAAAGATGGGGTACGCGCTGAAGTCCCAAGTGCTCAGCCTGTTTACGAACCTCATATGTCTCCCTCAACCCCCCCTGCCTTTTTTCCCTCGCACAAGCAGATTCAAGAGCTTACGGGCGAGCTTTCTAACCCCAACAACGCCATCCAAGCAGAGCCAGCAGGTGTGCCACTCCACAGGGCACAACCCTATCTCTCCATCCATCTTCCTTAGCCTCGGCTCCCCCTTTCCCTGCTTCTCTTCCCTCGCCCAAGCAGATTCAAGAGCTTACGGGCGAGCTTTCTAACCCCAACAACGCCATCCAAGCAGAGCCAGCAGGTGTGCCACTCCACAGGGCACAACCCTACCTCTCCATCCATCTTCCTTAGCCTCGGCTCCCCCTTTCCCTGCTTCTCTTCCCTCGCACAAGCAGATTCAAGGGCTCGCAGGCGAGCTTTTCTACAACCTCAACAACGTCACACTAGCGGCTTCGCCCAAGCGCTGCCAGCAGATGTGCCAGACGGCGCAGGCACAGACGAAGCTGTATAAGAACTACTGCAACCTGTGGGCCTTTGTTGAGTACAGGTGAGCGCCAGATTTAGAATTGAGGCGCCTCAAAACTCGTCTCATGTCAGCAGATGAGCCAGAGGACCCAGGCAGGCACAGCAGAGGCAGTACAAGAACTATTGCAACCTGTGTGGGCCTTCGTTGAGAACAGGTGGGTTCTGATGCGCTTGAAATGGTGAGTTTTGAGGCGATTCAAGTGTTAGCAGATGTGCCAGAGGGCCCAGGCACAGCAGAGGCAGTACAAGAACTACTGCAACCTGTGGGCCAGGCCTTCGTTGAGAACAGGTGAGGTAAAATCAATATGTGCATTCCTTGTGCCTTGTCTAGGCAGCTTGACTTGATGAGTGCTTTTTATTGAGCCATATGAGTGCAATAGTGCATTCTTTGTGCCTTAACTTCTTCTTGCTTGCACAAAATCTGTGTCCACAGAAACATGCGTTTGGGGAATTGTTTATTGGGAGAAAACATCCGTCTTCATATGGTAAATGACATTCTTTCTTGCGCCTTCCTATTGTGTGTGCAGTTACAATGTTCCATTCTGCAGAGGCAAATGTTTGCTTTTCAACGATGGGTCCGAGTGCGGGGTGCGCAATGTGACGCGAGATGCGAAGAGGAATGTTGTTTACCAATTAATGGAGCCCAGTTACCGGGCCTGCGACGACGACTAGAAGGCATCACACACCCAGCCCAATTTCCTCCACTGAGCCACTATTCCATGCATTATGATGCAATATATGGGGGCGTAGCACCATCAAGAAACCTAAGTTTCTGATGGTGCTTTTCTTGTGAAGACCTTGGAAGGTTGATTTGTGGCTTTGGGACTCATGCAGACCGATTGTTGGGTTCCTCAACGGTTGGGCCGCGTCACGGGTTAGTGACTGTTGGGAGTTTTGTAGACACGGAAACAGGGGTTTCAGAGTGGTTGGCTTGAAAGGTGGAGAGATTGACAGGTGTGGGGCAGAGACGAGGAGAGGAAGAGAGGAGGGTGGTACTGGAATGGACTCACGAGTTGGAGGAGGAAGGGGAAGAGGAGGAGAGAGCGTTGCGGGAGAGAAAGAGGGAGAGGAGGGAGAGGGAGGCGAAGGAGAGGGAGAGAGAGGAGGAGAGGAGGAGGAGGGTGGAGGAGGTGAGGAGGAAGATGGAGGCAGCTAGTGAGGGGAGGAGGAGGGAGGAGCGGGAGAGAGGAGAGGTGACTGTAGGGGAGGCGCGGATTGAGGAGCAAGAAAGGAAAAGCAATATGGGTGCTGCGTCTGGAGAGAGAAGGGAACTGTTCAAGGGAGGAGTGGAGAATACGGAGAGGCTTTCAGGTGTTGTGGTGAAGGAAGAGAGTGGGTCAGGTTTAGGGGGACGAGGTGTGCAAAAGGCGATGGTAAAGCGAGGTTTGATGAAAGGGGAAGCGAGGGAAAGTGAGAGCTCAAGTGAGGGAGAGAAGGGTGGAGTGATATGGAGGAGGAAGAAGAGGAGGAAGAAGAGGAGGAGGAGGATGACGACGAAGCATCATGGAGTGCTGATGACGATAGTGGTGATGTTAATATCGAGGATGCTGATGCTGGGAATGATAAGGAGGAGGCAGGGAGGAAGGAGAATGAGGAAGGGAGGACTGGGTTCTTAGGCTCGATGATACGCGGAGCCGTTGAGATGGCAGCATGGAGCCCGAGGAGTTGCAATCTGGTGACGGTGCTGTCGCGGCGGTGTTGCGGGATGACTTCCTGCACATCATCGTCGTCGCTTTCTGGTTCTGGTGGGGCTGGTGGTGTTGCTCCTGCGCCGTTTCCACTTCCACTTCCTGCTGTTGCGCCTCCTGCTGCGCCCGCTCCTCCTTCTCCTGAATCATCGTCGTCGTCGTCGTGTCGATCGCCTCTCGTGAACTCGCCTCTGGGGTCCTGCTCCAGAATTGTTGCTGCGGCTTCGTCCCCACGTTGAGGAAGTCACTGTAAACTTTCTCTAACTTGGCGTAGCGGTTGGTTCCTGGCTCACGCAGGGGGAAGGGCTGGTGACTCCGCGCAGCTTCGGGGCAGACGGTACAGGTGCGCGGGTGAGTTCCGCTGCTTACTTCGGAGCCGTCAGGTCGCAGTAGTGCGCCAGGTGCGAAAACGCCGGCGTCGATGCAGTTCTTCAGGGTCACGCGCGAGGGGTGACCTAGGCGCTGGTGCCAGATGGCGTCGTCAGCGCGGAATCCCGAGGTGCGCATGTAGCGCGCGAGTGCTTCTGCGGGGTCTTCATCAGGTTCTTGAGCAGGTGTCGCCGCTGCTTCTTCTGCTTCATCTTCTTCGTTCGCCGTTGTTAACATTAGGGCGAGAAATTCTCTGTCGCGAATGATGGAGTAGGGGATGTTGGTTCCGGGGATCGTGCCGAGGACAAATGTCGGTTCGCGCGGTTCGGGGGCAGGTCCGTAGACTGTGCGTCGCGGGGTGAGTGGTTCACTACCCCAGTCAATGGTGTCCCAGGGGTCACTACGTGAGGGAATGTCAGGTGGCGGTGGTCCTAATGCAGGGCGGCGCGGAGGGCGTCCAAGAGGAACAATAGAAGGTTCGACCTCAGCTTGCGCTGCTTCTTCTTCTGCTTCTGCTTCCCCCCTTTGATCCTCGCGGAAAGCTCCCCATCCGCTTGTTTCTCCGCCAGATGCTGTGCCCCATCCGCCTGTGCCCCAGCCGCCTGTGTCGCCGCCGGTTGCGGCTCCCCAGCCGCCTGTGTCGCTTGTTCCCCACCCGCCAGCGCTCCCCCACCCCCCTTCATTGGAGGCGCTTTCCTTGTCGTCCTCCCAAGCAAGTGTTCCGCGCGCCTCAGTGAGGCTCTTCTGTCGAAGCTCTTCGGCTTCGCGTTACGCCAGTGCCTTTTCTTCCGCCGGCGAGAGTTTCTGCTTCGAATCGCGCCGATGAGCGTAGATCGCTGCCGCCGTGGGTTGCCTTGTGCGTCGAAGATGCCGACTTCGACGCCGCGAAGCATCCCTTGGAGGTGCTGGGAAGCGGGCCCGGGGAGAGGATTTTCCGGCGTGCCGAAGACGACCCGTGTGGCTGTTTCCAGCTCTAGGTGCGATAGGCCCTCCTCAGGCGGTGCGTCGCGTTCTGCTTCGAGAATGGCGGCAAGACCGCGGCCGGCGATTGCGCTTGTCGAGGATGTGGGCGTGTGGCAGTCCCTGCAGATGCCATCAGGATCAGGGTCGTGCAGCGCCAGCTCGCGCGGGTGTGGGTGGTGAGGCACCCAAGGGCGCCCATCAGGGTGCTTCCAGTCGCGGCGAAGAATATGTTCGAAGCGCAGGGGGACGAGATCAATCAACTCCTGCGAATCGCCGCTGCAGTCGGGAATGTCGAAGTCGAGGACGTATACTCCGTTCTCGGCGCGCGCCCGTCCGATCTGCTTGCGCATCTTGTTCGGCATTGAGAAGTGGAGCAGAATGTCGCGAGTCTCAAGGTCGGTGCTGAGAATGACTCCGCAATCCAGGAGGTGCGCCGCCGAGAGCAGGTTGAAGCGCAGGTTCTGCACGTCATTCAAGGTGATGTGCGTTCTGCTCCCATGTGCCTTGAGCACAACAATGCCTTGCGCGCTTGCGCGCAGCCGCGTGTTGTTCGCCACAGTGACGTAAGTGACGGCGGGGGTGGCAACGGCGTTGGATATGTAACGCTCAGAGCCCACCATATGCTGACCACAGCAGCTGTCCAGGTACCACGTGTTGTAGCGCCTGTTATCGTTTCGCGCGAGCAGCGCCAGTCGCGGAGTGACGATGTTTGGAGTGTCGACTTTTAAAAACTGTTCGCGTGCGATCCAGTCGATCGGTGCCGGCCGCATGTCAGATACGTGCGGGGGGCTCTCAAGCAGCGGGACTGGGAGATTCCAGTCCTGGTTGTTGTCGTCGCTGAAGTCGTGATGCGTGCTGAACGGATTGCTGTTCGAGGACGCTTCGATTGGGTCAGGCGCCAGCTCGGGTGAGAGTGAGCGCGCGCGCGGGCGACGAGAACCGCTCGTCATGGTCATGTTCCCCATGACATTGCGGACGGGGGCAGCCTGCGATGGCTGCTGCTGCTGCTGCTGAACTGTCGAGTTCAGGTTACGCGATGGGGGTTGATACCCCTGGGCGGGACGCGTGTCGTTCCTTGCGTCTTGTCGGCCGGACCAGGTGCTCGGATTGGTCTGACGAGGGCGAGATCGATGCTTGCATCGATCCGCCAAGTGCCCGAAATTCCTGCAGATTTTGCAGTAGAGGCGCCGTGGCCGTCGCTCTTCCGTGTTGTCCGCGTAGAAGGCGAGACGTTCTCTCTCTCGTCGTGGCGCTGGTCGCTGCTGATCCATATCCCGTTGTTCGACGAGGAGGGCGGCGCAGAGGGCGGCCTCCGAGATGACCCCCTGCTGTCGGAGAAGCGCCTTGCAGGGCCGCCACTCGGGGCCGAGCCCTTGGAGCACTATATTTACGAAGATTTCCTCAGAAATCGTGCTCCCCAATTTCGCGATTTGATCGCGTAAGCTCCGACAGCGATTCAGGTAACTGTTGGCCTTCTCTCCTTGTGCCATTTTGGTCTCCAGTAGCTGCTGGAGTAGACGGCTCGACGACACTGAGTCCTTCGGTTGGTACACACCATTCAGGTGGCGCCAAGCGTTGAGGGCTGGAGCGGGTGAGGTTTTGTATGAGCGAATGCTCAATTACTCCGTCGGCGACATGTTTCGAAGGAGGACCCCGTACGCCATCAGGGACTCGTTGTAGTACTTAGTTTTTGCGTCGTCAGTTTCCTCCGTGGGTCCCGAGTAGCTCCCGTCAAAGTAGTGAAAGATCTGCGCGTTTTGCAGCAGCAGCTCCAGCTCGAAGCTCCAGGTATAGAAATCTCTGCCGTCAAAGCACACACTTGTCTTTATTTTTTATATGCTCAAAAACCTTGATTGCGCAGAGAGAATTGCTTCATCGCTGGGACAGGGAGTCTTGGGTGTTGAGCCATTTGTGTCAAGAGAGAAGCCTTGCGGGGCGGAGTTCTGGCCATTCGAGGCCGGTTGAGTGGGTTGGGAAGATGTTCCCGCATCGCCATTCCGCAATGTTTGGAGCCCTTGCTCCAGGCTCGTGAGTCGCTGAAGCAGTTGTGCGAGGACGACGGAAGGGATTGTCGTCGTTTCCTCGTTTGTCGCAGCTGGATTAGTCTGCGCTTCAGCCGTCAGATTTGTCTGACCTCCAGATCCTCCGGCCATTCTCACACGTGACCGTGTGCCGGACGCCACTTTTCGGTCGCCGAAGATTTCGGTGGTGGCGGTGCGAATGATTCCTGAGTCGCTCTCATACCATGTTGCGATCAGACGTTGATCAGCCTCAGGATCACCTCAGGAAGGTTCGCACAGTCCTAGTCTAGTGGTGGTGGTGGGCCCTTGACCTCAATAGCAGAGTGAATGTAAATGCTTGAGATAATAAAAACATGCAATACAAAGGATATAAATAAGATTACAAGGGAATACCAATCGACCTAGCTAGCCATGTACTCTAAGGGGTACATTCCCTTATTGCAGCGAAATCCAACCGTGCGACTCCGGACAGTACGAAACTGTTCGGGCAGAATCCTCGCCACTGCTGCTGCCTGATGCTGTCTGCCCGACGGTCCAGATCCTTTCGTAACCGTGTGACTCTTCGTGTCACCTCCGCCTGTCCGTCTTCAACCTCGGTAGTGCGTGCTCCGATTGCTGCGGTGAGGAGTGTGTAATAGTGTTTTACCAATCACTATCCGTAACACTTTACACCCGCCATCAAGTTCATCATCACCCACCCACCCCACTACATCAGCACAACACTCCAGCCATTCCAATTTCCAGCACCAATCCAGCCCACATTCACTCCTTTACCAATTACAGCCAAGACAGCCCCTTTTCATAACCAGGACTACAAGTGTCTCCTTAGGGAGACCAGAGAGAGACCTACACAGAAAATTATGTTTGCTTCTTGAATGGAAGTCAAGTCTGAAAGTGGGCTGACATCCCACACACCAGTCAACTAATGCAGAGAATCACTGTGGCAACCTCTGCAGAGTGTTTTGTCTTCATTCACTACCTTGCCTTTCCACCCCACAAGGAAGACTCCTCCTCCCTTCTCCTCTCCTCCCCAATCCTCAAACATCACTGATACGCTATATGAACCCTGCCTTCTCACCTCACGCACTAACTGCCATTAGCGGACAGGACAGTCA